CAAGGTGCCATGAACATGCGGCAGCAGAGTGAAAAATCCCGGGAGGTTTGCCCCAGTTTTAAGGATACTGTCATACTCGGAATCTGCTGGATGGATGCGCCAGGGTCAGGCGAGGAGGAGCTTGCCTGGTGGAGCAGTTTTGGGAATCCCACTGGTTGGCTCTCTGTGAATACCTTTGAAAGCCTGGCCTTGAGGCACCGGCTTTTTTTCCATCGACTTAAAGTGTCTCTGCGTGAGGCCGCTCCCCGCTGCTCCGCACCAGCTGCTGCTCTCCGCAGCTGCTTGGGAAGATGAAATGAGACCCCATTTTTAGAGGTCATGAAAAAGAGCGCAGATATTTTTCTGCGCAGGAAGCTGCCTTGCTGTAGAAATGCTGAACTTAGAGCGATGGGCGAGCTCCGAAGCCATCCCGCACGGCAGCGCTTGGGTTTCAGCGGCAGCGGAGGCGCAGCCGCCCTCTGCGCGAGGAGAGGGCTGGTGGGGGGAGCACGCCGTGGGGTCGGTACTCTGCAGCCCAGAGCCACCCCACGCAGAGGGGGAACGCCAGCAGTACAGCCAGTTTGTCCGTAACCACTGGCATTGACAAAATTGATTTTTGTGGTTTGAGAGCAGTAGGACAGATTTCATCTCTGGTGGGTCTCCTGACACTTTGATACATGGCAGCGCTATCCCTGAATGGAGCTAAATACTCCAGGGCTACTTTCTGACTGGGTGAAGGGATGTATAAAATGAGAACATATGAGAGAGTATTAACAGAAAGGCACACTTTGATTTACTGATACTGGCTCCCAGCTTTCTTGGTGGATTGATATGCTGTCTGCTGGATCTGGAACAACTTTTTTGCTCCTGTACACAAAATGAAAGGGCTCCCATGGACTCTTAGAAGTGACTCTTACAAGTTAGCATCTCACCACAGACACTCTGAGTCCCATTTAAGCTGGAAGTTATATTCAAACCACGTTTGCCGTGTTCCTGGAGCAGCCGCAGATGGATCCCACTCAGCATCCTTTTTTCTTTCCCAAAGGGCAGCTTTGAAAAGGTTTGATGGAAGGAGGGGTTGCGTGTTGTCCTGGGGTTAGTTGGCCTCTTCTACACACAGAGGATGAGTTGCTTGGGGGATTTCAGTTGCTCATACCGAAATGCTGCAAAGGGATCCAGCTTCTTTTGTGTTTAAGGCAGTGCTGAGCCACCCGTCCTCAAAAAAACTGCAGGTTGGACACGCATAAGTAACTCCTGGAAAAGGAGATAGTTTTGAGATTTTTCTCACTGGTGATGTATGGCCCAACGTTAAAGGTGTCAGTTGTGACACTGGTGTCGATACAATATTTACCCCAGCACATTGCAGTGCAGATTTTAAGACAGATGCAGCAAAGCTGCCAGCAGAGAGTGGGAGAGAAGGGGTGGGAGAGGCACAGGCTGGGGTTAACTGGGGTGATAGGTGCCTGCAAAGTCGGGTCACGATTGCTTTACACACTGCAACTTAACAGTCGCTTTTGCAGTGCTGTGCCTGCAGTCGCTGGCTGCTGCCCCGGTGTGCTGGACTGGGAAGGGGCAGCTGGGGATGTGGAGCGTCTGTAGTTGGCTGAACACAGTAGAGCAACACCCAGAAGTGATACTGATGGCAGAGTTAGCAAAGTGGCTCTGGGAGTAAGCTGTTGGCATCAGGATCCTCCCGCTGGTGAATGCGTGGTGGGAGGGCAGTCGTAGAGCTTTAACAGCGTTGTTTCAGCCTTGGCCGGGTTGCGGTGCTTGTGAAAACCATAGTGTCAATCTTCCTGATCCCAAAAGCTTTAGAAACTGAAAATCATCAGGGACTGCCAAGGACCTAACACCGCTCGTGGCAGTGGGAGGCCTCTGCCACGTGGTCAGGGCTGGCATTGCCGGCGTTCTTAGAGGTATTGCTGGCTGTGTTCTGTGAACAGAGCAGGGAAGGGAGCAGGAGGCACAACCCTGGTGGTTATCACACGTGAAAGCTGCTAGTTGGATGCCTTGATGTGCTGGTGTGCTTGAAAGCTCCGTGTTTGTGACTCTTTGCTGTTTAATTGTCCATTTCAGACACGGAACAGCATTAAAAAAAAATCTGCTGGGAGAGGGTGGGAGAGCAGGAGGGTTAGTGTCCGGCTTTCCTTCAAAATGACATAGTTTGCATTTATGAAACAGTTTTGTTTTACGCTGCCTTCATTCACAAATGGATTCAGTCTTTTCCCCAAAGCAGACGGTGTAAAGGCAGATGAGGGCATTAGAGGGAAAAGAAGATGAAGAGGGAGAGGAGACTGGGAAGAAAACAGTCCCTTCTGGAATTAGACGTGAAATGGATAGGGCAGGGCTGGATGGGAAGAGAGCAGGGGAGGGTGACACTTGGCTTCTGCAGTTGAGTTCACAGCACACTTAAGCACCCAACAGTAACAATGAGAATGCCATCCAATAATGCCATTAAATACACAGGAACTGAAAGCAGGGAAGTTACCCAGCTGTTAGAGGCTCATGATGAAGGCACTGTCTGGAATAATTAGCCCTCCCACCTGGTTAGATGCACGGTCATTGTCTCCCTGCCCTCCGCAGCCCCTTCACTCCGAATAAAATTGCTCCCCATCCCCACTTCTGTTGGGGTCCGTATCTCATAGCCTGGGGGAGCTCGAGCCTGTCTTTATTCCTTGCCCGCTTGCCGTGGCCCTGATATACCCCAGAAGAGCTGGAGTGCTACTCCAGTTGTAATTGACAGGATCAAAGCCGCCTGGGGTGCATTAGCACTGCTGCTGGAGGATAGGCAGCGGGTAGAAAATAAACAGTTTCGGAAGCTCTGGGGACATTCAGCTGTGTTGCAGGCAGAGGGAAAGATTTTGCTGTTGTAAGCTGTGCGCTTAGGCTAGGGTGGGGGCACTTCCCTTTTCCAAGCGATGCTTTAGCTGCAGACACGTACAACAAATGCATTTTTAAGGGCTTTTGTCTGTTTGTCTCTTGGAATTGTTTTGCTGCTAACACACGACTGTTTTACAAGTATGGCAAACCTAATCCGTTAATAGGTTTATATAGAAGAGTTGTCAGAACATATCTGAAATGAACCGCATGCTAGGGGAGGATGAGTCCAACAGCTGATCTGCAACAAAAATCTTAAAGCATCTTCTCCTTGACATTCCTGTTACTGAGGTCAGGCCGTAATTTATCTGAAGATGGTGACAACTGAGCAATATCACAGTGGTAACATGCGGGAGATTGAGACCTCTGAATGTCTGGGCTGATTTCTGCTTGCACTGTCTCTGTCTGGCTGATGAAGATTTGCTGTTCACTCTACCCGTGATCTCTGTGTCCTCCATTAAAAAAAAAAAAAAAAAAAAAAATCAAGTGGTGAAAAGTTCTCTCCATTCTTTTATGCTAACTACAAGGAAAGAAATGGGTTTGGGAGTTCAGCAAAACAGCCCTACTGACGTGCCGTCAGCGGAGGACCCAGCAGAGGGGGTACCAGGGGAAGCCCTGGGGAACGTCCCGATGCCACAGTGTTCCTCCTGCCCTCGGACAAATCCACATGCTCTGTCAGCCAGGGTTGCTGCTGCCCGCAAGGGCGCTCATTCTGGGTGCGTGGGGAGGGAAGCCAAGCCTGCGGGAACGTACCTTGCAGGAAAACAGCTCCTGGTGTGCCACGTTTCTCCAAGCAGTGCATTTTTTCCCTTTTCTGGGGCGCCTCTTTGTAAAATAGGAGGCAATACACACCAGCCATCAGGTAAATACAAATTAATCTCTGTAAAGTTCAGCTTAGGTTTTTGATGGAAGTGTACTAAGTGTCTTACCTGTAAGAGCTGACCCTGTGATTGATGTGTAGCAATGTACAAAGAGAGAGTTTGTGCAGGCCTAGACAAACACTTGTTTTCTGCAGGGAGGCTTGTTGGTTGTCACAAACTATTTTTAAAGAACAGATGCCGCAACAGTGTGCAGTTAACCCTTTCCGCAGTCAGCTGCAACTGTGTGTCCTCGGAATACGTAAGATCATTGGAACAGAGATGGTTTTCTCTGCATCTGCACAGATATAGGAAAATTGTCAGCTGTGAAAGCCTTTGGATACACAGCATCAGCTCTACATTCAGGATTTGTGTCTGCAAATACCCTGGAAAGCAGCTACTCATTCCTGTAAAACTAACCTTACACCACGTAGTGATCATTTTGTACACCTCTCCACCCTAGTCTTTTCTTCACTTTCTCTCTTTCTAAGGATCTCTGGGCCTGTGTTCTGCTTTTCTGATCAGAATCCTCTCATTAAACTTGCCAGGTCATTGTTTAAGTTTCCCCCCCCCCAGATCAGATTGTGCTACATTTAATTTTACTTACAATCTAATTTCTTATACCTCCTGCGTGGTGAGCACAGCGGCATAGAAACCAGCAGTAGTCGCAGCCCTGCAGGAGTTCAGTTTTTCTTCTTGCCTTCCCTCCTTCTGCTCCCTGTAACATGCACATTATGTACAAGAAAGAAAAGTCAGAGGTCAGGTGTAGACGGGATGTACATATATACATTTTTCCCTTGTGTTGCTTCCTATTATTTGACTGAAGCTGGTCTCTGCTGCAGAACTTAACACAGGAGAGAAATTACTCAGCAAAAAAGGTTGTTGTCGTGTGTGTGTGTCATCGGACGCTTCTGCACGCAGTACTTGCTTCTTGAATATGTTAATCCTTTCAGCTCCGCGGTCTGAATGTTTGTCGATGAAACATTAGATCAGTGTACTCCCAATGTGCAGCCAGGCAGATGTTTAGAAGGCAGTCCTGCCTCCTTTCCTCCCTTTGTAGGAAAGAAGTGTTCTTTCCCAGCGTGGTGGTGTTTGACATTAACAGCTATAAATCAGTTTGAAGATAAACTCACATCTCTAACTGATTAGAGAAGAACAGTTAATGGGACATGCAGTAGCTGTGGCAGAAATTCAGATTCAAGATGAGAAACTAAGCACTGCAAAGCTAAGTCTTCACCAGAAGCAAGGATCAGTGGGAAACTGTCACTTGTGTCTCTTGTCCTGCAGGTTGTAAAGCCCTGGAGGCATTGCTGAAAGTATTAGTGGACCTTCAGGATGAGCTGCTTTACCAATACCCAGGCACGAGGCATCTGGTAGATGGAAAGCAATCAAAAACTGAGAGGTAAATACAAAATAAGACAAGACCTTTTTGAATGCTTTGGTCTCCAGCTCTCCAAAAACAGGACAATGCACGGCTGCCTGACCATTCTCACTCTCTGCTCTTCTCAGTTGCTGCTGTATCTGGGTGACAGACACTCTGGACAAAGGACCATCTGAATTCCTTCTGCCAGTGTGGGAAGTCTGTTTTGGAATCTTTCTGATAACAGAGGAGGGGCTAAACCATGGATCTTTTGCCATAAACACCACCATGGTGTGGAAAACGCGTGGGTGGTAGTGGAGGGGCCATTCAGAACTCATACAGGTTGCCTTAGAGAGGTGTAGGGTGTTTAGTCTGCGTACTTTTGTTCTAGCGATGATGAAATCCCCAGCAGTAGTGATGAAGAGCAAGTGGAGAAGGCTCAGGAGAAGAGGAGGAGCCTCCCCAAACGAAAGCTAAAGATGGAGGACTACCCAGAATTCATAGCCAAGCGGTATGCTGACTTCAGGACATACCGGAACAACGTCTTGCAGAAGTGGCATGAGAAGACAAATCTGGCATCTGGCAAAATGGGAAAGGCAAGTCTTTGTTTACGTGTGCTGACGTGCTTATTGTCCAGCAGAGATTTGTGGAACAAGTTGATGTGAAAGTTTCATATCATGGATGTTCCAAGTTAAGCTGAGAGTTACAGCAGTAGGAATTAAATAGCAGGTACACACTTTTCCCCAGCCTTAAAGGAGTTTGGAAAGGAGCTCAGCCCTCAGATGTCAAAGGCATAAGCTGCTCTCTTTTGTTTTGAGCAGACCGACAGGAAGAATTTTTTTCAGGGACAAATGGTTTCCCAAATTTTGGGAAAAACTCTTGGATAGTATTGGTGTTCTCCCAACCAGACGTCTCACCATAGCCAGTCTCCAGCAGCAAGTAAGCTCTCTGAAAATGTCACTATTGCCGATCACAAGCTGTCTGTGTTTTATAACAGAACTAAGGGCTTCTGTGGCTCTCCTCCTCCACGAAGTGTACACTTTAATACAATGGGTAATCATTTCACCCGAAGATCCAGGGTCTCCTAACATCTGTGAGTTAGTATTAATCATTGAGAAGTTCATCTGAACCAGAACAGCAAAGGCATTTTATTAAGCCGGGTGTCAGGTTGCCTCAGGTTGGGAAAGGAGAGAGAGAGGGAGAAACAAATAAAAAATTCTAGCAGAAATCCCTGCAATGAAACCCAGACCCCCTCCTCTTGGAATGCTGTCTGCTTATCCGCTGACATGGAAAGATAGAGGAACATTGCTGCCTTGAGGAAAAGCTTTCTGCATTATCTGACACTAGTTAATGTTGTTGCAGGGTTTCGGTGCCTTTGAGCGTTCAATCGTGACTCAGATTGATCATATTATGATGGACAAAGAGAGATTACTACGGCGGACACAGACCAAGCGATCAGTGTATACAGTGCTGGGAAAGCAGGAACAGGAATCTCGTCCGGTCCCTGAATCTGTGCCTGAAAATTCGGTAAGGGTATTTTGTTTATATAACTCATCACGTAGCAGCAGTGAAACTCTCTGCAAAACAATTAGCCTTTAGCAGGAAGTATTCTTGTTTGTGAGAGAGTTATTTAAGGAGATACCTGAGTGTTGATTCCTGTAATGTAATGGCTAAGAAAAAGATGTAGACATTTCAATTCCAGTTTTATGCTGTTTGCATTATCTCCCGTGTCAGTGCTTGACAGGGGAAGACAAGGTTTGGTCTGTGATTGTGCCCCTTCTATGCTGTAGGAGGTGATGCTCACTAAATATGCTTTTGGAGGTAGCAGCTACAAAACTTTGTTTTCACTCTGAAGTTTAGAATCTTTAACCCAGAAAGTCACTTCTAAAATCATCCTGCATATAACCTACAGAATATGTTAGTAGTAAGTCTGTTATTAATTTAGTATTTAAGAATGAATAAATGCTCAATTCTGAGAGATCATATAGAATTACTGCACTTGCAAGATATATTTTTGCCATTACATTAAAAATATCTGTAGTATTTTGCCAGAAAGACTTTGCGGAGTCCTATTTATTTCCCAGTAAAGGTATCATAAATCTATTTTGGCATTGGCAGCGTTTCTGCCTTGCCTTTAAATGTATTCTAGTCCTTAAAAGCTTGTTATATTGGGAGCTTTTCTCCATTCCTTCCTATCTTCAAGTGTGTTTACAAGCTGCTGCACGTGATGTCATCAGAGTTAGGGACAGAAATGCGCACATACGAGCTTTCAGTGTTTCCTTTGTGCTTCTAGGAAGTCCTCCCTCAGTCAGATTCCAACAGGCACCTGAAGGACATAGATGAGGAGATATTTGATGACGACGACTTTTATCACCAGGTAGGTGATGGTAAATCGTTGTTGGCATTATGGCTCCAGTTGGTTTTTAATACTTACAGAGCTAATGCGGTTGGTTCTGTGCTCTAAACTTCTCAGTTACCTGTTTTAACATCTAAAATCTGTGTAGATACCACAGAGGACTTTGCTCTCAACTTTAGATGTAGGTTCTATGTGAGCTTAAATTCACATTGCGGACATAAGCTTCCTGCCGTTACTGGCGCCGCTGCACTTACGAGTGAGTCAGAGCTGCAGGGTAAGGTCTATGCCCGTAGTTCTCACTATGAGAACTACACTCGTGAACTACACGAGAGAAAAATTACGGAATTCTCTAAAGGTGACTGTTCTCTGTGGGTAGAGTCCCATCATGAAAAACGATTCTAGTAGATCCTCAAAAGCACCTAAGTTGCTCTCATCTCAACCTAAATCATCTTACCTACCTACAGAATGAAAAAGCTGCAGGGCTCCTCTAGCACTCTTCTTGGAGTTGTGCCAGCTTGGATTTAGGCCAGTTACGCTTTTTATTTGCAAAATTCTTAGAAACAAGGAATCTGCACCCAGTGCATGGAGGCTGAAGCTTAGGGAAACTTCATGATTCTAATTTATTTACTAAATGACAGTGCCGGCTTTATGAAATACGGAAATTGCCACGTATCGAGGAGTATTACGCAATGCACGAAAAACTAGTTTTGCTTTGATGGTCCACAGAGAGCTTTAACTTCAGGACTAAACAAATATCATTATATCATTAGAAAGGCAGAAATTTCTGATCTGAATAGTTATTAGAGTGGCTAGCAAAGTGTTAGATCAGTGGAAGAGAGCTGTTGCCGTGCGACTGTGCTCTGATAGCTGATTTAACCAGAAGCATTTGAATACTTTCAGAATTCGGGGTTTCATGTACAGAGCCAGGACTAAACATGAATAAAAAGATGTATTAAATTGGTAATTCTTAACCTGTGTTTTATGGATAGGAGATAGAACTTTAATGCTGTCTCTTTCTTCCCTTCCAAGAAGGTTTTCAACACACTTCCAACCCTACTGGTGTAGATGTCCAAGAAAACTTTTGCAGTAGACCTCACCTAGTGCAGAATTAGGACAATTTGAATATTTAATGTTTGTGAGGGATCTCTTCAAGGCAGCCTGCCTCAGAGCCAGGAATGTATTCCAGGCTAGCTCCTCTCCAGGCTGTGTATTTATTGTAAGAGCATCTCTGCTAGTATTGCTGTGGATTGAGCATCTCTTGAGTAGGTGAAGGTGCCAGGTTCATCTGTGTAGGCTCTAAAATGGAGATTGGAGACTGCGTGGCTGGCTGGCAGCAGTGGTTGAAAAGGCCCAATCTGTAATGCAATGAGAGGTGGAATTTGGGGGCCAAATGGACCCTAAGAACAGAGAACAAATTATGTTAGTATAACAAAATGAAGTGAAGTGGTCGAGGAGAAATAGCTGTGATTGACAATCTGTGGACCTGTGCAGAGGAGGTGTTTATTGGCCATGAAATGTTAAAATTTTAAAAGAAAAGTAGCAATAGATGAATGGCCCGTCTCTCCTTCTAATAACTTTAACTTCGATAAATCGTGATTTCAGAAATATGACTAGTCACAGCTTAGCTTTTCCCCTCACTGGTTAATTGGGGTGCTGGGGTTAATCTAAATTAAAACTTAAACTAATAGAGGTCATTGAGGGAAGAGAATCACCTGAGTAAAACAAATGGGTCTGCCAGGCACAACTGTATCTTGGCCATTTCCCAAGAGGGAAGTGGCAGCAAATTGGAGTTGTTTCAGCATTCGGTAGAGGTGAAGGATGGGTGACACCGCTTTAATGTACGGCACCTCCGGAAACGTTCCAGATTGCATTCCTTGCCGTACCAACTGCTGCCTCCCTGCGCAGTGAATAGGAGCAGGACCAGCCAACAACATCTGGCAGCACAGCAAGGAATGGGTGCAACTTTCGAAACCCCATAGACTCTAAATATGGTGCTTAGCCTGGTGGAGGCTTTAATCACTTACCACTCTTTGGCAGCGGGCTACGACAGCTTATCCTAGCCTCGTACATCACGCGCAGACATCTGCTGAGCCGCGAGGCAGCTACACATTCATTTTCCTTTCTCGCTTGTGTTTTTGTTGGTTTTTTTTTTTTTTTTTATCCCTCCCTCTCTCCCTCCCTCCCTCCTTTCCACCCTTCTCCTCTCCTCCCATCCCCAATATGCTTCTTGGGAGAGATGATCTGTAAAGATTACTGCTTCATTGTGTGCAAGTAATTGTGGGGATGCCAGCCCCTTGCCAGACACGGCGCGGCACCTGTTCCGCTGACCTGGTTAATGTCTTCTGTTGAGTGGGATTTGGCAGAGATTGGAGCTGAAGCCAATTCAGCGATAAGGCTAAAGAAAATGGCTGTATGTTTTCTGTCACCTCCCAATTAAATTGGTTTCATAAAGTGCTTTCCTTTATTTGTCAGGGTGGTAAGCTGAAGCTGAACATTGCATTCAGAAAGGGTAGAGTGCATTACAATAGAGCGCTGACAATACAGTGAATGTGTTTTCTTTCAGATGGGTCATAGCTGTGCAGCGCTTTTGTGTGCATGTGCGTGCGTGGATGTACATATATAAATAAAATGTAGAAAGGGAACCGGTTCTCCAGGAGTAATCGGCAGCAACGTCTCTGGTTGTTGGAGCTGGGGTTGCTCAGAAACTCTGACCTCTGTGTATAATACTTATTGCAAAGTATATGTCTGCATTTTGGTGGGTGCTTTTTTCTTTGTATTTAAATTTAGATCCAGACCTTTTTTAGTGTCACTTTCATTTTTCTGAATAACGTTTTATAATGATTAGCTTATTTTGATTACTGCTTATGGTTTATTAATGGTAAACATTCAGATAAAGAAGGACATTGGAAACCAACTTCTTGCATATTTCAGTGTGAAATTAAGCAAGTAAAAATGAACGAGATCTGATGAATGTGCACGAGTTAATGATAACAGAATAAGTAGCTATACTCTTTTGTTACAGATTATAATACAAAACTCTTTAATGAATCTCTTTTTCCTGTGGAAAAACGATTTTCTTGTCCAGGTCTTGGTATTCAGTGGAATTCACCATGTGGGGCTGGTGGAATTTTCTGATGATTCAGGGTTTTACTCTGTTCTGTCTGTTCATCCCACTTTACCTTTTCTAATACTGTAATCTATATTTAAGAGTTACAATTTTTATTGTTGTCACCCCTGTTCAATGGTAGTGTAAAGCTGAGCTGAATAATGCAAGTGAAATATTTTTATTTAGGTTGCACTGGGTGGGAATAGTTAAACTGTTTCAGAAGGATCCTCATCACTGACAGCAGTGAGAAGCTAGACCCCCTTTCCTTTTCTTCTAAACTCTCATTCATACGTGGTTTTAAGGAAAGAAAAAGGCTTTTTAGTTTTAGAAGTCATATTTACGTAGAATTCATTACAGCTGATATTGCTGCATTAAGACTTAAAATTCCAGCCTGCTACGAGGGAGCTGCTGGTCTGACATGCTACAGTGGAGATTTTATTATTGGGTTGAAATACTCCTCTAGTAAAGGAGAGAGTGGAAATTGGTTTATTTCCAACAGGAATTAGGTTAGTGTTCATATGCTAAGCGTTCCACTGGTAGCAGCTCTTCCCAGAACAAATGTTCATCATTGATGGCAGCAGGTATGCCTAAAGAGAATTAGGAATATACATAATCCCTTTTTTTCTCTGCTCTCCTGCTCCCTCCTCCCCCTGATTTTGGTTATGTTGTATGTCATCGCATTTTATGACAACCCACAAGCATCAGTCTTGTCTGTGATCGCCACAACCTCAGAAGCTGAGCAGAGCCAAAGTGGATGGGGACCATTCAAGGACACGCTAAAGGCTCCCAAGGGAGATGGCAGCAGTTTGCCAGGCAGGACTGCCAGTGGGCTGGAGAGGACAGGCTTCCCTCGACTGCCGCGTGATGTTGGAATGAACTGTTGCTCCCTGGGATTCACTCCCAAGGTGAGCATGCTTGAATAGCCAGGAGGAGGCTTGCTCCCTTCCTTATCTGTACTCTCATTACTTAGTAAAAGGAGTTGATCCTGTAGCAAATGTTTAATTGTAGGACTTGGGACTTTCTTTATTGTGGTCCCTTGTGGGGCGGCTCTGTACCTGCCTGCTCATTCTTGCACACTCTGTGCTTTTTACAAGTGAGCGAGAGATCTCACTACCTTCCTTTTTCCTAGTTTAGTGTTCAGAACCTGCATGAATCTGAGCAACCACGGAATGAATTTCCAAGTCTGAATCTCTTGTCAAGATACTTGTAGCTCCGCTTGTTTCTCTTCTGGGTTGTACTTGTGACCAAATCACATTGTACGGCTTTTTAGAAAACTTTATCTGACGGGGCAGATTTCTCCTCGTGTCCCAAGCAAGAGCCGGCCTAAAGCAGTTTCCTGGGCACATACTGTGGGTTTCTCTCCCAGGTATTTGATAATGCCATAAACAAGTAATTACTAATCCAGTGAACTATTAAAAGTCGATAATGGTGAAGAATAGAGAGAAGACTGGCTTTCTGACAAGCTGGTTTACCTTAATTAAACTGGTGAGTGATTAATATGGACAGCTGATCTTGTGGCTTTAATTAGATGCATTTAGAGTTTTGTGTGAATAAGAGATGTCTCGAACCATCCCATGGGTTAATGGCAATACAATACTCTTATCACAGGCATGTATCTTTCAAATGGCTGGGTAGATGGTTAATAACACGTTTTAAAGCTTGGTTTGAAACTTCTCTTATGGGTTATTAGAAAATACGCAAGTCAATGCCAGTTTTATACAAAACTGAATTTTAATAAAATGGTTTTTAAAGAGAGACTGTCCGGTGATTTCATCTTGCATTTCAGGTTTTTACATTATAAATAGATTGCAGAAAATTAAATGTTAAAAAAGTGTTTCAAGGGGATTTAAAAGTAATACTTGAGCTGCAGTCTAAATTTTCGCTGGTGTTGCTAGAAATGGTGTTGTGCTGCTAC